CAAAATTTAGCATACTATATATCCTGTCCTATATTTTGCTTTTCTTACTTAATAATATACAGTAATGTAGTAAGTACTTCCATTTGATAAATCAGTGTAGCTAGATATTTAAACTTTTATCTAGTTTCTTGTGTATCCTTCTAGAAGTCTTTTATATATACAAGTAAATAAGAATGTGCTTATTTTCCTCTATTTTGTATACAAAATTTAGCATACTATATATCCTGTCCTATATTTTGCTTTTCTTACTTAATAATATACAGTAATGTAGTAAGTACTTCCATTTGATAAATCAGAGAGCTGGTGTAGAGATTGTTTGTTTCTTTGTTAAAGAGATATGCTGATTTGACCCTACATAGTTTATTTTCATCACAACAGGTGGGGCCCTTTCCTACTTTTCAGTTTTTTTTGTTTGTTTATTTAGCTTTCTGCAGCCCTGAACTCCTTGGCTCAAGTGATCCTCCTGCCTCAGCCTCCCAAGTCACTGGGATTACAGGAGTGAGACACTGTGCCTAGCTTTGACTTTGTTTTTTTTAAAATTTTTAATTATTGGGGTATATAATAATTGTATGTATTTATAGGGTGCATGTGATATTTTGATACAGGCATACAATGTAAATTAATCAAATCAGGGTGATTGGGGTATCCATCACCTCAGGCATTTATCATTTCTTTGTGTTAGGAACGTTCCCATTACACTCTTAGTTATTTTAAAATATACCCTTATTGTTGATTACAGTCACTTTGTTGTGCTATCAGATATTGTTCATTCTATCTAACTATAGTTTTGCATCCATTAAGCATCCCTACTTTATCCTCCCCTCCCTGCTCCCCTTTCCAGCTTCTGGTAACCATCATTCTACTCCCTACGTCCATGAGATCAGCTATTTTTAATAATGAACTCCCACATATGAGTGAGAACATGTGAGATTTCTCTTCCTGTTCTTGGCTTATTTCACTAAACAGTGTTCTCCAATTCCATCTATTTTGTTACAAATGGTAGGATATCATTGTTTTTTATGGCTATATAATAATCCATTGTGTATAATTTTGTACCACAAAATTGTGTACCACAATTTCTTTATCCATTCATCTATTGACAGACACTTAGATTGATTCCAAATCTTGGCTGTTGTGAATAGTGCTGCAACCAACATGGTAGTACAGATATCACTAGCTCTGAATTTTTATGTTGTTTTTCACATATAATTTTAAATATCTCTCAATATAAAATAAATAAATATATATATACACACACACTGTCAATCATTTTCTTCAATATAAGATCTACCAGTTCTGTATTTATAATGACCTTAACTCCCCTACTTTTAAAAATTTTAACCATTCATTAAATTATATTAATAATACACCCACTGTTTATAGGTTCCTGAGAGCTATGTGCTTCTGTATCCTCTTTTAATGGACTATTTAAAAAATAATTTTTTTTGAGACAGGATCTCACTCTGTCACCTGGGATAGAGTGCAGTGTGATCATCATAGCTCACTGCAGCCTCAGACTCCTGGGGTGGGCTGTGCTCAAGTGATCCTCTTGCCTCAGCTCACCAAGTAGCTGGGACTACAGGTGTGTGCCACCATGCCCAGTTGATTTTTCTATTTTTGTAGAGGTGGGGTCTCACTATGTTGCTCAGGCTGGTCTTCAACTGCTTGGCTCAAGCAATCCTCCCACCTTGGCCTCCCAAAGTACTGGGATTATAGGCATGAGCCACCGTGCCCGGCCCCAAAATATTAATCTTAGTAAGCACTTACATAGCATTTATTATGTGCTAGGACAGAAGTATAAAGCAAAAGAGGAAGAATAGTTTAGAGGCAATGGTAAGGAGTACATATCACTGAGAAATATGAAAAGATGTTCAATTTGCTAGCATTAGGATCAGCAGTAAACTGAACTTTTAGTCCTTCTATTCAGGCATGTGTTGCATTTCTTTCAGTTTTGGGGGATGCAGTGTAAAACAGTTTTGTTGCTACAGCAGTAGCTTAGATGAGCCATATTAGCATTTTCAGGGTTTAAGCTTCTAAAATCTCTGGTAGATGTGTTATTTTCTTGTTTTAGAACTTAGAAAAAAAGTCTTTGTTCACTAATTTAAGAGCAATTTAGGACTTTATCCAATGTAGGAACCAGTCATTCAATCCAAAATAACAATAACTACAATTTTTGAGGGACTGCTTCTTGCCAGGTACTAGTAGAGACTTTAAGTCTAATAATAGTTTACATTTACTGAGTTCTTGCTATGTGCCAGGTACTGCTTTTTTCATATTGATTTAATCTTTATAATAAGCCTCTGAGGAAAATCCTATTATTCTTATTCTACAAATGAGATCAGTAGGATACCTTGAAGTTGAGTAACTTGTTAGGGTCACAGAGTTTGTAAGTGAAAGACAGTTTGGCACCAGAGTTGTACTCTAAACTGCTACATCACATGCTCTACCTCCTATCTTCTTTAATTTACACAGTAGCCCCATGAGGTAAATATGTAGATAAGGAAACAGGCTTGGAGAGAGTGTGTAACTTTCTCAGGGTCACTTGTTTCTGTTTATCTCACTCCAAACCTTGTGTTTTAATTCTATATTGTCTTCACTCTACACTGATTGATAACGGGATCCCTAAGAACCATAGCATGAAACTCTTGCACTCATGAAAATAGGCCAGTGTTGTTTTCTACAGCTTGATCTTATTACTCCTTACTACTATTTGTCTTATCTTCCAGCCATTTCTGAGCAATAGTGGTATCAGGTACTCCACTGAACAACCAGTTCCAAAATCCTGTCATCAAATTCTGTGCTGCTGTTTCATGTGGTAAGTTTTCTTATAGGTGTATTACAACTCTAATAAATTCTACCTCTTAGATATCTTGATTTGTAGAAGGAACAGATTATACTTATGTGAACACGTGGTTGGTTAGTCTTTAGTGTTTTGCTACTACTTTATCATACTGAGAAAATCAGGGAAAATTTGCCTGGCAGGACTATTGAAAATATTTAGCCAAACAAGATGCTTTACATCAGCTTAGAGTCTACTGTTATTTGTTATGATTTTATCCTTAGGCCACCCATATTTAAATGCTAACTGGCCAAACACAGTGGTATAAGTTTTAATAGAGTTAAATTAGAGTTAGTTCTAGATGTGACAAGACTGTTTAGTCAACATTGTTTCTTAACTGAATTTTAAATGATTAGAATATAATTATTATATTAATATATTAATATAATAATACAGTAAGTCCCCTCTTATTCTTAATCTCACTTTCTGTGGTTTAACTTACCCACAGTCAACTGTGGTCTGAAAATATGAAATGAAACATTACAGAAATAAAAAATTCATGAATTTTAAATTTCGAGTTGTTCTGAGTAGGATGATGAAATCATGCCAGAGACATGAATCATCCTTCTGGCCAGCGTATCCACGCTGTTTATGCTACCCACCCATTAGTCACTTAGTAGCTGGTCAGTTATCAGATCAAAAAAAATAGTGTATATGGGGTTCGATAAGAACCAGGGTTTCAGGCATCCACTGTGGGTCTTGGAACATACTCCCCGTGGATATAGAGGGCCTACTGTGACTACTATTTACTGAATGTCTTTTATAGGTCTGACATTATGCTTTACAAGTATTATTCACGTAATCCTCATGACAACGTGGTAAGAGAGATGGTGGTATTGACATTTTACAGATGAAAAAACTGGGTTAGAGAAGTTAAGAAATTTATGTTAGGTCACATAGCTTGTAACTTCACAGGGCTAACTTTCAAACCTAGGTAGATCTGTTTCAAGGCTTTTACTTTTTTATTACACCATCTAATTACTTGTGGTGTTTGAACTTTGGCCATGTAGAAAGTCAAAGATTTTTAAGATGCCGAAGAGAGAAAGAGTGTGGTTATTCCTGTTTGGGCAATGTAGAGAATTATAGAAGCTGTATTTAAATGTACTGAATTATCATAACTTTTTTTGTTCTTTGTTTTCAGGTAATAGATGCATATTATTTCTTTTATTTAAAAGAAATGAGTGTAACTAGTATTGCATTGAGAGTTGAAACCTGGCTTTTAGCCACATGGCATGTTAAAGTACCTCTCATGTGGCTGGAAGCTTGTATTAACTGGATCCAAGAAGAAAATAATAATGTTAATTTGAGTCAGGCCCAAATGAATAAACAAGTGTTTGAGCAATGGCTCCTTACTGATCTGAGAGATTTGGAGCATCCTCTTTTACCTGATGGCATTTTAGAAATTCCAAAAGGAGAACTGAATGGATTTTATGCTCTGCAGATTAATTCCTTGGTTGATGTAAGTCAACCTGCATATTCCCAGATACAGAAGTTGAGAGGAAAGAATACAAAGAATGATCTAGTTACAGCCGAGACACAAGTAACCCCAAAGCCCTGGGAAGCAAAGCCTTCACGAATGTTGATGCTACAGCTAACTGATGGAATTGTACAGATGCAGGGAATGGAGTATCAGTCTATTCCAGCTCTTCATGATGACCTTCCTCCAGGTACAAAAATTTTGATTTATGGAAACATTTCTTTCCGTCTTGGTGTTCTCTTATTGAAACCAGAAAATGTGAAGGTGTTGGGAGGTGAAGTAGATGCTCTTTTAGAAGAATATGCACAAGAAAAAGTACTTGCAAGATTAATTGGGGAACCTGAGCCTGTCATTTCAGTCATACCAAATAATTCTAACCAAAACATCCCCAAAGTTACAGATGTTCTGGATACTGCATTAGGACCTTCTGATGAAGAACTCTTGGCAAGTCTTGATGAAAATGATGAGCTTACAGCAAATATTGAAACCTCCTTGGAAAGAAGATATTTCAACACAGGTAGTTCCTCAAGTACTGTTTCCATAAGACAGTCAAGTTTTGAACCAGGATTTGTTAGTTCTCCAAGACCAAAGGAAAAACCACCCCACCAATCTATGCATTTCACTGATGGGGAATTAGATGACTTTTCATTGGAAGAGGCCTTGCTTTTAGAAGAAACTGTCCAGCAAGAGCAGATGGAAACTAAAGAATTGCAGCCATTGACTTTGAACAGAATCCCAGATAAAAGTATAGTGAGTGTTAACAACCCTAATACTGTGAATAATTTTTCTTCAACTTGCAAAACTGGAAACAATTGGAATGAAAAAAATGTATCTGAACAAATGACTAACGAAGGTAAGTCTTTTGATTGTCTGTCTGCTATAGACCAAAACAATAGTGTTTTTTTAATTCATCATAATGTACCCCTAATCCATGATTTTACGAATAAAGATAAGAACTCAGAGACAGATAACCAAATAAAACAAAGCATCAACAATTTAGATAGATATTCCTTAAATAATAAAGTATTAAATAGAGAGCTCATCAACTATATACCAAAAAGGAATTCACAAGTTTCTAATGAAAATGAGCACCATTTACAGACTTGTTCTTTAAGATCATCAGAGAATAACACTGATCTTTCTACTGCCATGGATTTAAATTCTCCACCCTTTATCTATTTGTCTGTTCTGATGGCCAGCAAACTAAAGGAAGTTACAACAGTGAAAATCAAAGCATTTATTGTAACTTTAACTGGAAATCTCTCAAGTTCTGGTGGCATTTGGAGTATAACTGCAAAGGTTTCTGATGGTACTGCATATCTAGATGTAGAGTTTGTAGATGAAATACTTACTAGTCTGATAGGGTTCTCGGTACCAGAAATGAAACAACTGAAAAAGGAGCCTCTTCAGTACCAAAAGTTCTTGAAAGGTTTGCAGAAATGTCAGAGAGATCTAATAGATTTGTGCTGCCTAATGACTATTTCATTTAATCCTCCCTTGTCTAAAGCAATCGTACTGGCATTACAAGATGTTAATATGGAACACCTTGAGAATCTAAAGAAGAGATTGAATAAATAATTTACTAAAACAGTATTAGAAAACAATTCAAAACAAGGAATACTTAGAATTAAATTTATTCACAATTTTATTTTGGAAACTTTCTTTTTGTAAAAAGGAAAAATGAAGTTTCATAGCTTTTTTCGGTTTAATTTTAAAATGTTTAATCATGTTTGTTGTATGTGCAGGCTTTTTTAATAAGGTAGTTTTTTTTTATAGTAACTGTTAGATGAAGGAATTCGGTGACCCACTTTTGTTGAGAAATTTGTTTTCCATTCATCATTTCACATAAGATGATTGGTAAAGTATTGTGTTGGTGTTCACCCATGAGTTATATTATTGAAAGTTAATAATTATACATAGGTAGTTTTACTTCTAACGTGCTGAGTGCTCAAAAGATTTGTTTATATGGTTATTCTTAGAAAAAATATCCAGTGTATCAGAATATCAGGCTTTCAGATGCAAATTGCTTTGCTGGTTTTTATTTTGCTGATTGTAAATTTTTGTCTGGTATATTTGAGGTAAATCTTGTTAACTAGATAATATTTGATAGATTATGTATTTTTGAATGATAACCTTATTTTTGAGGATAGTTTATTTTAAATGGCATATTGAAAATTTCATTATTAAGGGCCAGTAAATAGTTCATTTACTGTATTAAAATAAGCCATTTTTTCATGTCTTTAGACATTATTTCTAAATTCGTTGTACATAGAAGCCTTTAGTTTTATTGTAAATGCTGATTTTGTTTAAGGGAGGCTGTTTACCACTCTTATACTTTCTTCTTATGAAGATGTATGTGAAAGATAAAGTTATTTTTATTAATCTTTTATCTTTAAAAAATGTAAAGTACCTTGAATTTTAAGACATTAAACAAGTGCTTAAATAATAAAGACATTGTGTTTGCCTTATTTTAGTGAAAATGTAGCAGTAAATATCAAGAAGTTAAATAAATATGCATATAAAAATACGATATAGAAGAAAAAAGATTTCAAAAACATTTTCCATTGTTGTTAAAGGGTGATAATCAGAGCTTAAAACACAAGAACACAGATATTGCTGATAAATGCTCTAATAGCAATCTCATCTATATACTTGCATAGATTTTTTACTATAAGCTATCTAAATGGGATGGCACTATCTTTCATTATCTTTTTTCTAAGTGTTCTCCTCCTGTACTCTATCTCTGTGAGTGGTGCTCGAAAACTCCAATTAGATCTTATTTCCTCTCTTCATATTCACTCACTAAAGGCTGGCTACAGTACTTTTTAAAAATCCATCATTCTGTATTGGTTCTCAGTGCTTTGATTCTGTTTCCATCTTCTCTGGCCTGGATTATGCCAATGGTTTGCTAATTGGTCTTTACCTTATTTTGCCCTCAAACCATTCTCCATAATGTTGCCAAAATAATATTGCTAAAATAAATTTCCTCTTGTTTACTCTTTATTAACCTTCAGTATCAGCCTCCTCCCATCTCTTTACTTAGAGGGTAAAGTCCACACTCATCTAATATGTAAAGCCTTTTATGATCTGGCTCCAGACTCCTTTTAGCCTCCTCTTGCCCTATTACTCTCTACTTACCTGATCTGCCCCACTGTTTTAGTTATACAAAATTATTTGTAGTTCCCCAAACATGTAGGGGAATATATCTCGTGCTTTCATACTCATTCTCATAGTGCCCATACTCCCTGATCCCATACTTCCCCAAATCATCCTTACTTCCAACTCAGTTTAAGCTTTAGATGCCCATTGTAGCATTATAGTGTTTCATGAATTCCCCTGCCCACTTCCATGCTCTCTTGTACATTGTACAGACTAATAATTATGTGTGTTTTATTGTGCTTATTTGTTTCTGTTATTCTGCTGCATTTTTGGCAGGGTAAATCATGTAGGGGGCTGCCCTGTGCATTGTAGGATGTTTAACATCCCTGTCCTCTACCCACTAGATGCCAGCAGCATCTTTCCAGTTGTGACAATGAAAAATCTCTCCAGACATTGCCAAAGATTCTCCCGGGTGGGGGTATGCCCCAGTTAAGAATCACTACTCTGCTGGAATATAAGCTGCTTGAGGGTATGGTTGAGTAATTTACCTTTGTAACACCAGTAAGTATTTCATCAAATACAATCATTTTTATTCAGTTGCTTAGTATATTTTAGTGATTTCCCATTATCTTTTCCAACAGGATGGTACTTAAAGCCCTGAAACCTCTGCATGCGTAGCATCTTGAAGAGCTACCCTATTCAGCGAAAGAATAGATTAGAAAAATCTGCCCATAGTAAAGAATGACTATGAGAAAACTTGGCTGACTTTGCCTAGATTCTGGTAGAGTGGGGAAAAAAAGAGTTGTTTTTTTCCCCCCTGAGAATTTGTAGCCAGAGGTCTGTGCCTGTGTGGGGCTAAGCAAACATTTAAGTTACCAGCATGATAATCCCCAAACAGAATTTAACACAAAAAAGAGTAATCTTAGGATATTTGGTAGTAGCAAATGAGGATAATCAAATTAATTTTCTTTCCTCTTGGGAGTGAACCTGCTTTCAGGGAGTACAGAACCTTTGGGGGATTGGTTCCAGGACCTCCTATGGATACCAAAATCTGCAGATGCTGAAGTTCCTGATATAAAACGGTGTGCTATGTGTAACAGTAGTCACCCCTCCTCCCATAGATATGGAAGGGAAATATAGACAGTGGGGAATATGTAACAGGGAATGGCCTGAAAAATGGCAAAAATATTTCTTTCCCTTTAAAACATCTTCCACTCCTTTTTGAGAGCTAAAATCTGTATCCCTGCCTCAGGCCAGTGGTTGGGAGGGACAGGGTAAGTCTCTTATTTAGGCAACAGGAGATGGCCCAGCCTGGACCTGGTAAAGAAAGGTCATGGGTGGAGGTCATGGGATTGTCTTCAGTGGATGTGGGAAGATCAGAATCATCAACTGTAGTTGAATAGCAATTGCCTGAAGCTAGATGGCCTCCTTTTAAGAGCTCTGTATTTCTGCTTATTAGGAGGATGGCATTTCAGATAGGAGTCTCCATCCTCCTTTGCTGGCAAAGTAATAAAACTTTTCTTTGCTTCTCAAACCATTTGTTCTCTTCTGTTGCAGCCTCGAGGACAAGTGCCGAACTTTTGGTAACGTGCATAAAACCTGTGCACATACTCCCATATACTTTAAATAATCTCTACTTGTAATAATCATACATAAGTAAATGTTATAGTTGTGTTGTTTAGGGAATAATGGAAAGCAAGAAAGTCTGTATGTGTTTAGTACAGATGCAGTTTTTTAATGTTTTCAGTCTATGGTTGGTTGAATCCATGGTCACAGAGGGTCAGCTGTATATGTTCTTTCCTTGTATATTCTTAAGTCTTATGTGGTTGGTCCCTGCCCTGGTCCAGCACTGCTTGTGACTGGGTGGATAAGTCTGCCCCATTCTGGAGTTAGCATGCACCACATGAAGCTCCCAGACATTCATGGACTTAAAATGACTTGAGGAAAAAAGACAAGCTTGAAAATTTCAATAGTTAACTGGGAATTAAATGGAAATTCTAAGAAAAAAATATAATAGCTAAAATTAAGAATTTGCTGAATGAGTTTAACAACAGATGAAATACAGCTAAAGAGAAATTGGACAGAAGAAAAAAATGAAGAGTGATGCATATAGAGACAAAATGTTGGAAAACAATGTAAAAGAGAGAAGGGCTAACATTATAGCACCTGAAATCCCAGAAAGAGAAGTAGAGAATATCTGAAGTTAAGGCTTAAGGATTTTCTAAAATTTAGGAAAATCATCAAGCTACAGATTTCTAAAGTCCCACAAACCTCAAGCAAAATATATTCAAGGAAAATCATATGTATTACTAATATTGTTGAAAACTAAGAAAAAAAATCTGGAACAATGAAGGAAAAAAATAAGGCATATTACCTTTAAAGGACCAAATGTGACAATTGACTTCTTAATGGGAACAGTGGAAATCAGAAGACAATGGAATGGTGTCTTCAAAGGGACAAAATAACTGCCAACCTAGATTCTATAAAAAGCAAAACTTATTAAAAATAAGGATGCAATAGTAAAATTCCACACAAAAAATGAGAATTTTTCCCTAGCAAACCTTACACAAGAAAACTGTCTTTAACAGAGGGAAAATGTTACCTCTGGAACATTTGGAGATGTGAGCTTAGTGATGCAAGAAGGAATGATGAGCAAAAAGGGTAAATATGTGGTTTAAATGAATAGTGATTTTCAATTGAAAGTAATGTCTTGAGGGTTTTAAAAAACAGAACTAATGTACATGAAAATAATAGCATATAAGCTAGGAAGGGGATAAATGGAGTTAAAATGTTCTAATGTCCTTATGTCTGAGAAAAAATTAAGCTGGAGTTTTATATTTGAATATTCAAAGTTGCATGTTATAATATTTTAGGGTAACCACTCTAAAAGATTTGTAAAGAGTAAATTACTACCAAGCTAATGAGACCAAAATGGAATAATAGAGAAAAAAATGCACTCAACCCAAAGGAAGGCAAGAAAGAAAATAACGAAGAAAAAGTGGCATGTAGGAAAACAGTTGGTCAGGTGGTACATTTAAATCCAAATGTATCATAAATTGCATTAGGCTGGGCGTGGTGACACATACCCGTAGTCCCAGCTATTTGGGAGGCTGAGATGGGAAGATTGCTTGAGCCCGGTGGTTTGAGGCTGCAGTGAGTTATGATCACATGACTGCACTCCAGCCTGGTGACGAAGTGAGACCCCATCTGTAAAAAAAAAATGAAATAAAATGCAAGAAATTGGGCCAGGAGCGTCGGCTCACGCCTGTAATCCTAGTACTTTGGGAGGGTGAGGCAGGAAGATTGCATGAGGTCAGGAGTTCGAGACCAGCAAGAGTAAGACCTCATCTCTAAAAAAAAAAAATGAAAAATTAGCTGGGTGTGGTGGCACATGCCTGTAGTTCCAGCTACTTAGGAGGTTCAGGCAGGAAGATTGCTTGAGCTCAGGAGTTTGAGGTTGCAGTGAGCTATGATGACAC